TCATTCCCGGAAGGAAGAATTTCTGGGTCATGTACGCAATTGAATCTGCTTACATACAACACAGTCAGCTTGTGTCAATCGAACATCTCTGCGAGCTGGCCGATCAGCTGATCAAACATGCCCATTTCTCAATATCTTTTACATGATCTGCAGTTGCTAGGCTCACAGCTTGTTGGTTGAGCAAAAACAACGTCTGCCCTCCGGTTAGCAAGGCTCCCTGTTTCACTGCACTGTTTCCGGGACATCTTCTGTGATTTGTGTGGTCCATAGGAAACGGCCTGATCATGTCAAGGTTGAACCAACTTGGTCGAAAAAAAAGAATTGTGTCTCGGATGCTAGAGAAACTACTTTTGGTTCAAGGACAGATCTATAGATTCAACAAAACTGAACTGAAATTGTATGTGTGCTCATTCACCTCTTGCCTGGAACCATGACCATGAGAAATAGGTGGATACAACCTCATTGTGCTCAGAAGACGCTGACGCCAAATTCAGTTTAAACAACAATGAAACATGCACTTCTATGCATTGCTTTTGGTTACGGTCTTTCGGCTGCTTATTTGATTGAAAAATGGGAGGAAAACAGGAAGGGTGAAAGTCGGATCGTAGAGAAAATTGAGAAGTTCAGTGGACTGTCTGATGTAAAGAAATTGAGAAGATGCACGAACGCCACTGTTTACGACACCCAACCACATCATGTATGTCCCTAATCATCGGTTACCTTCATCCCGAGGACCCTAGCCAGGGAGTCTAACGGGATGTATGTGACCCAATTCCCTGGTCATAGTTTTCATACCTTCATGCCAGAACTTAGCTTGATCACCCTTGGCTTTATTCCACCCACTACCAACCTCGGCGAACATCGCTCGCTGTGGTAACCTATCTGGTGACATGCGCAACACATGCCCCAGTAAGCGTAATCTATGGAGGTCGACCAGTTGCTCCAACGAGCTACCGCTATTGTCTAAAACTTTGCGTCTGACCTCACCATTGCTCGTCCGACTGCCCCACTGGATTCAGTTGTGATCCTGTAATTCAGCATGAAACATTACTGCATTCAAGAAACCGCGCCAATCAGAATCGGTTTCATGAGTTGATACTGATTGACAAGCAATGAGTAAATATAAGCCATGGCGGTCTCGGAAAAAAATATATAAGCTGCAATAGTATGGATCAATGTGAGTGAAGGACGGTTGCCTCAAATCAACAGGGACGGACAAATGAATGCGTATCCAGCAATCAATAGAATTCAGTCTCTGAATGATAGTCTGGTCAGGTCGAATCGCTCACAGTCTGTACTTTATCCTGTTATTCCCCTTGTTGACAGTCGCAGAGTTTCACCATGAGCTTACTACACGAAATTCGAACAGATTTTATGTTTCTGGTGGTGTATCATTACTTGTGCTTAAGAGCTGTGCCACCTCTCGTCAACAAAACATTTTTCGTATGTAACTCACAGTTACTTGTGAGTAGTGGTGCTGGATAATTGATATTGATTTATTTAAGCTAACTAATTCCCTTCGAACATCAACTTCACACACAATCCTCAGCTGTTCCAGTTAACCATACACTCTGAAGCACTAGACTCGAGTTTCAATCATATTACAGCTCGTCAATAATGCATATTCACCGTCCCGTTGCTGTTGGGCCAAATGAACTGATTGCCTATCACTGAATACGACACCTGAACAAATATGAATTGACAATTCGAGTCAGCCCAGGCATGAGCCGGTCGGCACAATGGTAACGCACACACCCCTTTCTTGCGATAGGTCTGGAGCTCAAACCCCGGACGGTAGAGTGGATATGCACTACTGAAGAGCTCTACTAGGAGTGAAATTCGAGCCTAATGCTTCCGAGTGTATAGTCAAATCGATGAACTGAGGATTGTGCGTGAAGTTGAAGTTTGAAGGATAGTCAGTCAAATCGATCAGAACATTTTATCTTGTGCTTTAGCAAGAAATGCATTCTCAAATGTTGTAATATTGGCACCATCACATACCCCAGCACGTATGAAAGTATTCTTAATAGAAACGGGGTTAAAAAATAATCATTTATTATTAGCTTGATGTTGTCATTCTTTCGGTCACGGACAAGAAATGTTAGACTGTCTGAATGTGTTCTTCAAGCTACAAAGATGCCTTCTTACACACCCGATGAAGTCATCACGTCATTACGAACTGCTAACGGTTTTCGGGGTTATGATTGTTGCATTAGGCTTTTTTATCACTCCACGCAGTGCAGATGCGCTCGTATCGCCTTTCCTCACTCTCACTTTTTATCCATCCCTATCTGTAACAGTTCTTCAATACCTACGAAAATGCAGACGATATTGTTTCTAGCATGTCCGATTCAAGTGTATTCTTTGATTTGACTTTACCAGCTAAATTTATCAGGCCTCTCCGACTGTTCAGATTGGAATAATTTGCGTTTGAAAGGATTCAATGAGTGCTGATCTGTGTGCTTCTACTTAGAGTGATTAATACAGTAAACCCTCTACTTCTTCATGGTGTCTCTGGTGCCAGGGCATCCATCCACTGTTGAATGTGTCTTGGTCTTATGTTTAATCATCTGTCTATCGCCTCAAACTGTTCTCAGTTAGAACAGGCAAGTCGGAAGACAAACACTGCGAGAGGAATTCCTTTCGTATACTCTCTCTTGGCCTCCTCGGGCTGTACCCAATCACGTGCATCACACACACTGTACACAATCACACACATAAACACATGGTTAATACAAACTAGATTTCTTAATTCGCTTCATTTGTCTCTCTTGTTCGATGTTATGCGTACGCGACCGATGAGAGTATACAAAAGGAATTCCTCTCGCGTAGTGTTTGTCTTCTAACCTGCCAGTTCAAATTCATTACGGGATACAAATGTTTCTGTTCTCAATTCGTTTTGGGTCTGAACTACAATTGACTGGTAAGTTTGTCATGCATGTGTGAACGAACGTGCTTCGGGCTCTCGCAGCGCAGCGGAGTGAACGGATATGCGCGACAGGATGTCCCTCGGCTGGTATTCTCAAAACGGGAGACGATACGAGGCTTTGTGGGCGACGAACGATGACAGGGAACGGCGGTAGAGATGTGAGACACGGGTTGGCGAGGAAACACTGGCAGACAGGTCTTCCATGGATCGGAGTTGGAGTTAAACCTGCAAGGCAAAGCAAACAAAATGCCATGAACCGAAAAGGTCCAGTGAGATACAAGCGCTCACGATAAAATACTACTGGCCTTGGTTGTCAAGCGTTACACATGCATGCCTGTGGCCGGATGGGTTGATTGAATGATCTACTGATTCATTCGATAACTGTTTGATTGCCCAGCTTGGTGGCATTCAGGTGTCCTGTTGTTTGCTTCCCGTGTGTTGACACACTACTTGTTCACCAGTCTACGGAGTTCAGTTCAGTTCATCTTATACAATCATTAAGCATGCACTTTCGTGCACCGGTCTTGGTTGCTGTCTTTGGATGAAGAATAGGTCTATATCAATAGATAATTAATTTCAAATGGGAATTCGTCGTGTATATAGCAAATGAAGCGTGAACTGAAAAGCTCGGAAGCACTGGACAGCTGTTTCGACCTGGTTGGGTCTCATAAGCAGCAATGCGAATTCATCTACCCAAATGCTAGTGCTGAGTTGAGCAGGGTCCGTGGCCCGCAAGAAACTTTCAAAGAAGGATTGTGCTATATCGTGTAAATGGAAAATGAAAAACAGTCTGATCAGCTGATCAGTGGCGTAGTAGGTAGCACGCTTTCGTTCTGCCCATGAAGCCCCGGGGTCGATGAATTCGCACTGCTGATGAGACCCAATCAGGTCGAAACAGCTGTCCACTGCTTCTGAGCTTTTCAGTGCACGCTTCATTTGCTATATACACGACGAATTCCAATTTGAAATTTAACCAAATCCTCCATTACTCACATGAGATAATTAACTGTATTGAAGTAAAAAATAGTAATTCCCATTCAAAAATTTTCTCCTTCGTGGTAGAAAAATAATCACGTTGTAACTCGTCTACTACACACATATTCATCTTTGCTCCAGAATGAACACCTGATTCAAGAACAAATTGCCCGCAAACAAGCCATACAACGAGCACAGGAGCAACGCCAGATCCGGATCGAAAACGCCTTAAATCAGGTAGGTTACGTTAGAACGATTCCGGGCACAAGTTAAATTTAGTTTGAGCGACGACTAAATGCAATCCGTATGCCCTTGCCCATATCAGTCAATGAATTTTATTAGAGACGGATCTTTTTTTATACTACATATATATTATGCGCTTCTCTTGTTACAAAAACATTGTTTCCACCGGGAAATGGACCAGACTAACAGACACAGTACCACAACAGTAAAACAAACGAGTTCTTTTCCCCAGGAGCTGGTGTTCACTCTCCCAGAGTACTTCCTAAAGGGGAAGAGCGCGCTGTAGTATTAACAATTTAATATCCGATTTGCCTCATTTCGGATTGCAACACCAAATTATCTAGTTGACGGTAATTGCTTCTTCAATACACACACAGAGCAAACCGATCAGCTCAAAGAATGGTCGGTGGAAATTGTAGCGGATCAGCTGCTTATGATCGATCAGTAGCAAAATCAGGGGCTTGATCTATCGCATCCAATCAATACATACATATTCAGTGAATGCACAGATGACGCATATGCTGGTTGTAGAAACAACGACGGAAATGGTCAAGTTAACCGTGCAATTGATTTATGACGAACACCATCTGTCGAGTACGAGTGAGTGTTAGCTCTTGTACACTGGTGATCATAGCAAATACACGTAGTGGATGGTGATGCATTTTTGATTAGGTAATAGGACTTTTATCGAAAAGCTTTCGCAACATAAGATGTATAGATCGATAAATGGAAAGGCACGGGTTGATAGATAGCCATATTCATTGATCGATCGATTGAGTGATCGGAAGGAGAAGAAGAACGAAGAGGTTAAGATGAACTTGGAGTAAGCCGCTGCAAATGAATAAATATTTGAGGAGTCTGAAGACCAATTTGATATCCTTGAGATACCAAACGGGTGATCTAAGACAAATGGGGTAAGATGCACGCATATGGTAACCTTTAAGTAGGTGCAGTGGTGACCGAGATGAATATTTTCGGGCAAAGAAAACAATAAAGATAATTTCCCAGTTCCCAGGAAGACCACAGATTAGGTGTGATCTGAATTAGTGCTGTTTCAGTTTCAAGTGATATGAGTGATAATTTGAGTATGAGGAGGTCATTATTTATAAATAAATGGGCGCATGAATCACCGTGATGCTCACCGGCAAGTACGCGGCTCAAGGTCAACCTGGATGGTTGGCCGCATCCGAAA